AGAAACTGTCTATAAAAATGCTTGGAATAAAATAGATTGAAAACAGATTTACTAAAGAAATTAGGAAGTCATTCCAGTGTTCTTTTCTGTTCTAAATAACATAGTGCAAATAAATCTCTGAGGCAAGATTCTGGACAAAGACATTCCTTTGAAAAAAGACCACAAGATTCCTGGTCTTCTTAATGGAGAAAACAGAAAGAATTGGTCTCAGTCTGGGACACTCAAATGCTGATCCTTTTGAACAATGTGGACAAGTACAGAATATTGTCTAATGTATTCATCCTTGAGCAGAAATAAACCAAATTTCTCTGTGCTCTGACTGTCTCATAGGAGCTCAAATACCCCCTCCAAACCCTCCCTTTCTTTTTTATGTTTGCTAGTTTCCAAAGTTTCTGAAGGAATTTATTTGGGCAAGGCATTTTGAGTTGTATATCTGATTTTCCCTGAGAAATTAGGATCTAGTTGCACAGTTCAGTGGTTGGGAGCCACATATGGTTTTTTTTTTAGGCTTTGGGAATTGAAAGTCAGTAGGGAACTACGTATCTAAGTAGGTGTAATTCCCTATTGCTGGCCGTGGAGTGAGGACTGAGTGAGTTCTCCACAACAACACAGCCATCGTAACTTCTATACTATAAAGACTTCATTTTTATTTTTCATTGTTTATTGTATTTTCTTGTCTCTCCTGACTTAACAGTTACTCCTGTGTGTCTTCATAGGAAGAATGTGTATCATGGTCCTGCTCTGACAGCATAGGCCCAGTGAAATGCAGACAAGTGAGTTTTCTGCTGTTGTACACCATGGAAAGGTACAAATATAATCAGTTGCTTTCTCTGCTTGGCCATCACAAGATTGGAAAAGAGGGTGTATGTAGCGGTAGTTGGCAATAATAAAGTTCAGCCTTGGTAAATGCCCTGTGAAAAGCAGTATATATTGCTGTCTGCTCTCAATATGACTGCGATTGTATGACATTTAAATGATAAAAGATGGTCATGTAAGAGGTAGGTGACATATTAGATGTGCTATCTTTGCTTTATAATGTTTTCCAGTGAAAACTACAATTTCACTTTGGTTTAATAAGCACACCCTGATGACATTGGTAGGTTTATATTTTGACATGAGCATAACAGTAGAAGTAGACTGGCTAATGTTGGGAGAAGTATCTGATATAAATTAGGTAGTTAGAATTTTGCAGTCTAGAACTGGGTTATGTTGCTCTTTGAGCTGTCTTCTAAAATGCTGGCCTTTTCAGCCAACACTCTACAGAGAAAAATCTTGCTGGTTTAAGTTCTTGTGTCAGTTAACAAACTCAGTTATTTAGCAACAGTCTTAGAAGGGTGACTTTTAAAGGATGTGAGATGTAAATCAGCAATCTGTTTTTAATCACAGCGGATGCATAGGTTCCCTTTGAGTCCTAATGAAAGAATCTGGAGCTGGAGACTGCAACATGTTTGAATTAGTTTTGGTGTTCATTTTGCAGATTTCCAAGGTATCTAGGATGTGGCTAATAATAATAGCAGGTGTTGTCTGTTTCTCTCAGCATGTGGCATGAAAGTAGTGTGGTCACACAGCTATGCATTATTTACATGGTGTCAACATGTCAGCAAGTGGGATGGCAGAGAGCCAGATTAAATCACTTCTGATTTTACATACAGGACACCGAATAATAACGCTGCGTCACACTTGAGGACACTGGAATCTGGCAAATCAGCAGTAGCTTAATGTGCCAAGCTCATTTGAATGGCTTCCCCACACCCTGAATGATGAACCAAAATCAGAAGTCAAGGAAACTATGTAAAGTTGGTGGGAGTTTTGGTGGTGGGATTTTTGTTTGTTTGTTTGTTTTTCTTGAAGCAGAAGATTGTATCCAGTAAAGAGATACTCTTTCATCACTTAATATAAAGATACATGGGTCTCTCGTGTAAGAATGTCTCTTCCTGAGAATGGGCAACTGCCCCATGATACATCTGTTTGCCATTTATCTTTGTTATCTCTGGTAAATCTGCTTGGTACAATTACTTTCTTTCATTAGTTTTTTGCAGAAGCTAGTGCAACAGGTCCATAATCTCAAATGGTAAGCGTATTTGTAAGAGGCAATCACACTATTTAGAATGGGTGCTTTAAGGGTTTGGGGTTGGTCTTCCAAGAAAATCTAGGAGTGCTGTTCTCAGCCCTTGCGTCTTCTGCACCAGCTCTGATTTCTGTATCACCCCTAGAGCTGGTTTAGCTTGCCAGCTGGTCGGAAACTAACTCAGCAAAATAAAAATATGAATAGATTTTTCTTGGTTTAGTAATCCAATTGTGTTCACCCAGGAGCCATGTGAAAACCAGAGAAAATGGAAGGGAAGGAACAGGCCCGCATGCCAGGGAAGGAAGGATGCAGGGAGAACTGAAGGGAGCAGGACTGCTAAATGCAGGACTGTTCCTGCTCACAGCAACTGTCTACAACAGCTGAAGGAAAAAAATGTGTACTTGAAATACTGTAAATAGAAGTCTCTGTCATGGGATGTGCTTTCAAATATTTTATCCATTAAACCAAATGTTACTGTCCTCATTTTATACATAGGGCATAGTGCAACTTGTTCGTGGTGCCACTGTAGAGGTGGGACTAAAGCAGAAATGATCTTAACTCCTAATCAAGGACATCACTTGCTGGCCTTCTGTAATGAGTATTCCTATGACAGACAGCTGCTGAAGAGTGAGATTTGTGTTCATGGGGAAGATGAGACCCCAACAGTGCACTCTCCTAGCTAGTGCTCAGTGGTCTCTTGGCAGTATTGTTGTTTGCTGCAGTCAGCTGCTTCTTTGCAGATCTTATCCTCAACAGCTTTTTTTTACATTCTTTGCATAAAGCTGACCTTTTTCTTGGATAGAATTGAACATTTACGATGAGAAGAAATGGCCTCAAGTTGTGCCAGGGAAAGTTTAGATTGGATATTAAAAAAAAATTCTTCACTGAAAGGGTTATCAAGCACTGGAGCACTTCTGGCCAGGGAAGAGGTTGAGTCACCATCCATGGAAGTATTTAAAAGATGTGTAGATGTGTCACCTGGGGACATGGTCACATGGTGGACTTGGCAATGTTAGGTTAATGGTTGGACTCAATGATCTTAAAGGTCTTTTTCAACTTAGACAAATCTATGAATTCAGCCATAATGCAAAACCTCACCCTACAATAGTTAGTGCACAGGGAGGGACCTGTTGGAAAGTTAAAAGAAGCATCCAGAATACTGGGATTCATTTTACCTTGTCAACATAATACCTTTTTTATGAAACTAGAGCTGTGTATGCTCATAAAAACCTTTTGCTTTTTTTATTTTAAAGGATAATGCAACCATTTAAGTCTGTGCACAGTTCTTTCAAGTTAAATGTTTAGTTCAACATTCCACTTCCATTTCCTGGTAGAAAATGTTTTATATGAAAGCAACTTTAACCTTTCAGAAGGGTTCATTTACTGTTACGTTTGGTATCAGCTTTCCAAAAAATGTAGTCTGTATTTGGTGTATTACAGGTTCTGGTTTTAATATTGGTTTAGAAAAAAAAGAGTCACATGCCATAAGTCAGAAATAAAATATTGCGCCAGAATTCTCTCTATACATGAATTCACCCCATGAGTGAGTGGCTTAAAGTAAGTCTGCTCACTTAAAGCCAGGACTTGGGCTCAATCTATGCATGAACCAGCTGGTAACAAATAACACATTCAACTCTTGGTCACAGGAAACTGTTAGGTTGCCTTTTTATAGACAACTACAGCCCTACAGCTCCTGAAGCACAAGGGAATATCATAAGGACTTGGAGAGCGTTGAACACCTACCATATGCACATAAAGAAGGGTAATAAAGATGAAAGGCCTGAACGGAGCTTTAATTCCTATTTTTCTGCTTTTGATTTATCATCTGCTTCTGCATTGCTGCAACTTTCTTCGGCCTAAAATTAGGTAGAAGATGCTTGAATTGCTTAGTTTGATCAAATTAGTCAAACTTAGGCTTCCCTCTCTGCCAGTGTAACAGATGCTAAACGTAAAACTTTGAAGTACTTTCTTGCTTTCTTTTCAGCATTATTGTGTGTTCATTTCTGAAGTGCTGACTGCTATAACCATCCACTGCAGTGGCCAGTTCCTGGCCAAGTGTTGCTGTTACAGAGGTGCTGCAGTCATGGAGAAATGGGCACTGACCTGGTAGAGCTGTAGCAAGGTGACTCTGAACTAGAGCTAAGACTGACTTGGCTGGGTGCAGGGCCATAAAAACATGGCTGAGCTGTTTTTGGGACCTTAGCAGCTTCTCTGCTTGGTGCTGCAGTATGCTGTAGGACTATCTTAGCTGTCACGTTTGCTCAGGACTCTCTGCTCTGTGGTCCATTGCCATGTATGGATGTATTCTGGGAATTATCCTCCACAGGACTTCTGCCATCAATAAGCACCTCTTACAGAAAAAGGGGCCTTCAGACAGGCCTGGCCGTGAGCGAGACAATAAAGGCTAATCCTCTGTGCTGCTGAGCCTCAGCTTCTAATAAAGGACTCAGAAGTTGTAAGGGTAAGGCTTCAAAGTAACTACAGATTTACAGAGGGAGGGCAGATAAGAGGGTTGTAGCCCACCCATTAAGACCACCTGGTCTTAATATATGGTAGCAGTCAGCCTTTGTGCGACACACTCTTTCCATATCCTAACCCTGTTCTAGCAAGTGAGATTTCCAAGAACTCTGCTGGCAAAGTACTTGTCAAAGTTGGGTGCACTACAGAGGCTAAGTCTGTCAGTCATACAGAATAGTTTTATCACCCCTTGAACTGCAGCAGCTAAATCTGACAGTGATGGTGAAGCAGAACCTTAGTAAAATAACGTTCATGACATTTAATATCACTAATCTTTTCTGATGATGAATGCATGTCCAATGCTTTGAAGATGGAAAGGTCTGCAAAAATGCAAACTATTATTTGATCTGGAAATGTGTTTTGTGGCATCCCAAAGAGTATTCACATTTCTTATTCCTTTTTTGTCCATGTGCAGGAGTTCTCATGAATTTTCAGCAATGAGTCCATATGGGAATAATTTCATTGTGAGAAGAAGGCTTCCATTCTATCAGGAAAAAAGGCTGCATGGAAATCACAGAAAGCTACAGAAGAAAGTATCAGTCATTGTTTGAAAGCATTGTGGCCTATGGAGATGGAAACCAGAACGTGGATTTTCCTCCAAATTTTATAAGCTTCTAGAAACCCCAATGATGAGAAACAAATGCGAAAAGTTCACAAAAGCAGTGGTTGCTTAAGAGAAAAAATTCTTAAAGCCCTATTGCTTTTATGATGAACAGACCTGGCGTGAAGGATATTAATTATCTTGTATACCATTCTTTAAACAGGTAAAGCTATTCCCAGTATTTTTCAGTTGCCATCTAGATTAGTGTTACACTCAGTTGCTGAAGAGTTAACAACGAAGTTATCAATCACTGGAACTAATTATTAAGTGGAACAGTGACCTTACCATTTCTTGAAGTCTTCAAACTGAGAGTGGATGGTATGCTTTAGCAAACAATGAAGACACAGCTGGGTGAAATTATATGATTTTGCTAAAGAGAAGGCAACACGAGATACTCTATGTGGTCCTTTCTAGCCTTAATAGCTATAGGTCTAAAATCTCACAAATACCTTTACAAAGACTCCTTAGAAGTAGTGAGGACCATAGCACCAATCTGAGTCCATCTTCTGATTTGGGGTAGATTATTCCAAAGTATTTAAAAATATTACAGACTGTAGTACTGTCACTACAAGTCATATTACTAGCATAATTTTACAATATTGGAAATCTCTTTTGGAGGACTAAAGAGACTCTTCCTCTCCCCCAAAGAGCTAAATGTACTTCACTTCATGAAAGCGTGTATAAACAAGTAAGCATGCATGCTGCTGCTTTCCTACAGGTCATTAAAATCTGAAATCAGTAAGCTAGATTCACTCAGTGAAATAAAACACAATCCAGGAAGGAAATTCTAAGATAGTTGTCATTTTTGTAGGCCATTTCTAAGCTAAACTTTCATTTTCTCCCCCTTGTAGTGTGACCTGGCTCACTGCTTAAAAGAGAACCTTAAAAGAAGATATTCTGCCCCTGCTCCCTCCCGTCCCCATGCATCGGTCCTCCAGTAGAGAACAGCTAAACCATTTGGGGCATTAGGCAATGCAGAAACTTAAATCAAGCAGTTGGAAGTTTAGGAAAGCTGTACCTGGCTGAATAGCTAGACATGAAAAGAAATAGTTCTTCAATGTTGAAATGTATTTTTCTTGCTATAAAGGAAGAAGGAATTATGTGACCACATGCTTGAAAGAAAGACCTTGCCATTTCATGATGGCTCTCAGACATCATCTTTATAACCCCACTGAACTGTTTCTCTGATAAAAAAACTGTAGCCTACACTACAAAGGGCTTTGAGTGTATGTATAGCATACACTGTTATCAGCAATCAGCACAATGGTTACAAAAGGTATTCCTTCAGTATGGTTAAACCGACTCTTTAATCATAAGACAGAATTACTCCTGTGCCAGTATGTTTTCCACCCACAGAGGCGGGTTTGGCAGCATAGCTAGGACAATGTAGTTGGGATGTCCTAACTAACACTTGAAGATGTGAAAATAATATCATGGTAAAGCTTTTAAACTGTTTCAGGGAAAGCTGATGGTTTTGTGTCCACAATGGATATGCCTAATTCCAGAGGCAGATTTTTAGTTTTTAGATGGTAGTCAATGGCTAGTTGCCCTTGTTTCTGTCACGCACATACAATGAAGGGAGCACAAGATAAGCATCTGGAGGAAATGTACAGATGCTTGTCACATACAGGCATTCTGATTGCTTTATCAAACAGTCTCTTCTGGTTCTAGGTTCCATAAATTTATAATTTGTGGTGATTCAAATAAGTTCAACTTTCTCTTGCTAATGCGTTTTGTGCTCTTGAGAAAAAATTATTGGAAAAGCTGGATGCTGAAAAAGAGGAGTGGCCTTTGCTCATAAGCTTTTCAAATATGTTAACCTTTAAAAAAACAGCAGTCCGGTTTGTAATAGCAATTCCAGCATCATCAGTGACTAATCTATTTGCCATACAAAGGTCATAGTAAAATATAGGTGTGTATGTTTAATACTTCGATTTCATGGGTCTACAAGAATGATTTTGGGTTGATTTGGTTGAAGGAACTCCTTAGTTTTAGTCCCCTAAAGACTATCTATGTAGCTTTCTTCTAAAATATATAATATATAATATAAAATATATAAAGGGAGGGGATTAAGAGGTTACTAAACATTTGAAAGACTGGAGGTCTAGGCTATGTTTCCATTCATCAAGGTGGTTCTCAAAAGTAATTTTTGAGCCACATTGCAAGGAAGCTGGGAAGAGCTTGAACTGCTAATGTTCCCTTTGTTATGTGGACATACAGAAAACAGTTTTCTTGTCCCGCAAGGATTCTGTTGATTTTGAAATTTTAGGCCTGGCATGGGGATCAGTGAATATATGAGTGACTTAAGAAACAAACAAACATATTTCATTTTAATGCTGACCTTTTTTTTTTCTTTTTTAACCTTTTAATATAAACTAAATTAAGTTTCAACAGGAGAAGATGCTTTTAACCGCAAAGACAAGACTTTTTGTTTTTAAAATGTTGAAATGGCACATTTCTAGAATTTCAAAACCTGTTTTTCCTTTTTTTTTTTTTTTTTTTTTTTTGTCAGCAGAAGTCACGTTCTGACAGGTTGCTCTCAATGTGATTGTAAGCGTGGTTGGATGTGTGGTAGGCTATGCTAAACTATTTTTTTTCCATATGTGTTTTTTTCCCCTTTTTCCCCTCTCTCTGTCTTTTTTCTTTCTGTTTTCTTTTTTTTTTTTTTTTTTTTGAGGACAGGAAGCTCTTCTGGGAATAATCTCAGATTTGATGAATTGTCAGTTGTGACCATCTCTCTTCTTCTCTATGAAAGCCCTGTTCTCACTCTCAACTCTAAACGACAGCTTCCAATACTTTCCAGAAGTCTACGGTATGATTGCCTTAGTTATCTTACTGATGCATTAGAGTGAGACCTAGATTTTGGGCAACAGTCTTTATCCACTGGTGGAATAAGACAACACTGAAAGTGTTGTGATGGTCTTAATTTGGGATTCTTCTTCCCCTACAAGTACAAGAGATTGTAATAGTTCTGTGTTTCATCTTTCTGCGTTTCCCATACATACTGGTTCATGCCAATTATTGGTTCACAGTTTGTAAACAAGTAGATATGAGTTACATGTATGCTAGGAATTAATTTCATTAACACACTGAGTGCTTTTTTTCCATTACATCTGTCAAGAAGGAATATTTTCCTATAACTAATGACCACAGTTGTGCTGATGGGACAAAAATCTGATGCCTTCAGTGAAGGATTATTAATGAACCCTGCTTTAAGAAGTCTGGATGGCTGTTACTCCTAGAAGCAAACACTGGATATTTTTTACTTTTGTTGGCAATATTTGTATATATTTGCATTACCCTAGAAATAAATTCCTTTCGCGATTTGACTGAATGGATCATCTCTTCTGCTAGGAGGAAATTAAGGCACAAATTTCCCTGTAGCCAGAGGACCCACCCACTGTGCCGGCTGGAGATGGAGGAAAGGTGGAATGGAAGCACCAAGGGCTAGGTAAGGTCTGCACAAATACTGCCAAATTATTCCAGTGAAAGTCCTTATGCTTCTCTCCTGCCTGAGAAGAGAAATCAAGTTGAGGCGTTCAGAACTCTGAAAAGAGGGGTTGGTTCATAGGGGTTGAAGATGGAAGTTATCCAATAATAGAGAAGGGGTTTCTTCCTTGGTGAACCAAAAAGATCTTGCACTCAGCAGGCTCTTCCCTTCTCCAACTGAGCACTACTGTATAATGTCTACCAGTTAGTAAATGTATGTTACCTTATATATGAACAAAGCAGTGGCATTTTCAATAACTCGTAATCCTGCTGTTTGGTAATGTTTTAAATGTATTTTATTCATAAAATTGCACAGTTTACTCGGCTGTGCTTCCATAGGCATAATTAATGAGTACAGCTTTAGAGTATCAGGGCCAACCAACAGGCCCCAGTGTCCCTGCCTAGCTCCTGGGGCTCTCTCGCCCTGCCCACAGCCCAGGACCCCATGTCAGCCCCTGGGGCCACCAGCTCCTGCCCCAGCAAGGCCACAGCAGGGACAGTCTCCAGCTCCTCGAGGCATATAACATTTTGTAATGTTGGTTGAAGTAGCTATAAGCTTTAAGAATGGGCAGTGCTGATAAATAGTGTGAATAGTTAGATTTAATTCTTTGTTAGGATAAAACAGAAACACTGGATTCAAAAAAACTTTATATTGGCTGCATTCACTGAGAAATGATGCTCCAGACTATTTCAGGCAATTGAGCAAGCTTATGTATATACTACAAACTGAATACAAGCCCTTTCTGTTGTTAGGAAACTGTCTACTTAATACTTGAAGAAAGACCCAGTCTTTACATTGGGACATTTTTTTCTTTCCCACCTTTGACAGCAGAAAGTACCTTCCGTACTTTCACATTCAGCTCATTGTATTTGTGACTGTTGTCATCCAGAGAAAGACACCTACTGTCGTAGATTGGTCCTGACCTGACTTCATGATACCTCAGCTCCTGCTTTCAGCTTAAATTCTTGCAGGAGCAGCTTAGGACTTTGACTGAAGGAACCTGTTGTTTTTAATACAGCTATGAAGGGCAGCATTTCATACTGACTCAGAAGTAGAGAAGATTTATTCTGGACTTCAGAGATGTTACTCTTAGGCATATTTTTGAGAATTGAAGGGAAATAAGTAGCCTTCTACCCTCTTACCCCAGAAGCAAAGAAGTTTGACAGCTGTGAATGGAACAGGCTGAAGCCATTTTGGAGATGGATGTTTAAGTTGTACAGCATGGATGGGATTCTTTAATAAGTATTCTCTCTTTTTCTTTCATTACATGAAGTTTTGCTTTTCTTGGATCACACAGATTCTTGTAAAAATGTAACAAGCTACTATTCTGAATATGCCAAATAAGAAACAGATGGATCTCTTTAAAGAATAGTCTATCAGTAATATTAAAGGGATCTCAAGTTTAGGGACCAGACACCTCCTTTTCCTCATGCCAGCCTTCTTAGCCTGAACAAAGAGGCTCTTATAGCAATGACTAGCATATGGCAAAGGAGAAAAAGGAGGTTTTGGTAACTACAAAATAAAGCATGGCATTTTTTTCTCTTTTCACAAGAGAAAAAAATTTAATGTTTTTTTAATGTGCTATGACATTGGCTACTATGCACGAGGTTTTATGTGGTGGACTGATTTAAACACAAAGCTTGACCCTGTTGTCAGTGTGTCTTTCACACCACAATTCAACTGGTGGAACTCCATTGCCACAATGGAGTTCCTCTGACTTGAATGTGTTCCTCCCCGATTAATGTAGAGCCATGTGACTAAGCAAGAGCCTTCTGAATGAAGAAAATTCCAGCTGGGATAGTGTACAATAGGATGTACATAATACTCCTTAGACACCAACTTATTTATTTTAGATTAAAGCTTTACCTCAGGTTTTCCATTATCTCTGTGCTTTAGCTGAAATGGCCCTGCAGTCTTCTGTTCTTTTGCCTTGTGACACCTTTCCCAAGAAAGAAAGCTTAGCAGTATGAATGACTAAGTACTGTGTGGGTGACCATCCTCTCCTTCTTCATGAACAGCTTCGTATCCCGCATAACATATATTTCTGTGTTATATACTATCAAAACCTGACTAACATACTGTGCTGAAAGTAAGCCACAACAGCAGCTTCAGAAACTTCAGACTATGCCCTTTTGAGCTTATTAGACTTTACGTGAGTATACTTGGTGTGTCAAGTCTTGAATTGCCCATAAGACAGCCAAATTGGTGAAGGCGAGCATGAGACAGATTCTCTGATTCTTGTAGCCACCCTGGCTGCTCCCAAGGGTATTATGGGCAAATCATGTGAGTTTGCACAAAAGCTGAGATGTTCCTTTACTGCTGCTATTTTCTATTACTTGGGATATTTCCAAAGTTGGGCGTGTGGGATGTACAGTACTTGTTTGTTGATGAAATAATAACTTAACCTAGATAAAGCACATACATACTGTTATTTTAGTAAAAGAAATAAGGCTCACATTTAAAAGGGAAATATAATACAGTAAACATCCTTCTGTACTGGCCTACTTATTTTTCTAAACTTCTGTGAGGCTGAGGTATTTGCCTTCCAAAATAAAATTTCTGCAACAGTCTGCAAGTTCTGTAATACCTTTTCCATTATCTGTTGAGTGAGCCAAAGGTCTGTGGTCAAGTGGGCATCTCAGTTACAACTCTTTATTGAGCATCTAATACATTAGGCTTTAAGTCCCACAGACCTCTCTGTTCCTGAACAAAGCTGTTAAGCATTTAATTTTCAACTTCATCCTAGTTCCAATGAAAACACCAGAAAATGAATCCAGTCTTCAGCTGGTGATGTGCATGAGTCTTGGATGTCCATGATGTTTTGGTTTAAACTATTCAAAATGATCAGGAAGATTTTTTTTTTTAAAAAACTTGATTTTACAACAACCTGAAAACACAGTGAAAGAACTTATATTTTCAAATTTTAACACTATATCTCCTAGAGCGCTGATTTTTTTTCAGTAGTTATTGAAGTCTTGTAAGAATGTCCTATTCAGATTTTTTCACCTTTTTGTGCATCTCAATTTTAATGCATTTTAGAATGATTTTTAAGTGAATGTTTGATACAACTATTCTTGGATGTATGTTCTGTGGATGTTACTGCCACTCCTCTCAAATTGTAGTAAGATCAGCTGTTGTAAACAAGGTAGAGATCAGAATGGAGGTAGATGTGTGCTAGATGTGTGCGGGTAGAGTGCCGCTACCCACAGTACTGAGGGTAATTATGCCAAGTTACTGGCCTGGGATGCTCCCACTCAGAGGTAGCTCTCATCAGTGCATCTGGTTTATTGTAGAATTTCAGTCTTAAAATGAATATGTTACCCTGATACGCTGTGATGTCTCAGAGGACTCCAGATGGAAACACCCTTCTTAGACTGGAGAAATTAGATTAGGGAGTGAGAACTGGTGTGAAAATAGGTAATATCACCTTCATAAATACATCTGTGTTCAGCAACAGTCTGCTGTAAAGCTGCAGGAACCTGATGCCACCACTTGTGCTTAGACCTGCTACAATAGGAACCATTAGAACCTACTCCGGGTCTTCTGCACTTCCGTTTCCAGCATCCCTGTGATCCTTCCAGGTGGCTTACAGAGTGTTTATTAGGGACATCAATATGGGCTCCCCATAGGAGAAATAATGTTTCCTTCCTTTATAGCTGGAGCAAATAAACGGGAGCCCAGCAACTGCTTTGATGCTCAGCTATGATACTGGAGGGCTGAATATGTCCCAGAATGAAGTTATGGTGTCAGTATAGTGGAGAGAGTAGAAGCATTTGCCATATCTTGAAGGGGAGAAAAGGGTGCATATAGGAAAAAGTGTTTTGTATTTGGTATTCTCTTCCCATAGCACCAAATGTTCTGGTAGCATGAGCTAACTTGCATTTAGAAATCTTCCTAGAAATCTTCAAAATAGTTTGTCTTTACAATAGATGAAGATTGTTTAAAAGGCTGAGTTCCTGCCTTGTGGGATGTTTGAGGTTTCAGCATATATGTAGTTTATTTTTGTCTTGAATTAGAACAGAGAGTCAAAAGTGTTTGCAGAAAAAAATTCAAAATGTTTCTCTTTGATACTATCAGATCAAATATATAAGAAAAAAAATCCTCTCCTTTCAGAGAAGAAATGTTGGATATCTGATGACGACAATATTAATGACCTTTGAAAATGCATTATAAATCCAGGGTAATGTCAACATTGGAATTAGTGGTGGATAAGTTTGTTTAAATAGCATTTAAAGCAGCTTATTCATGAAACACAATCTTTTGGATGTTTAGAAATGTCTTATTATATTATTATGCTTAGAGCTTATAGTTATTATGCTTAGAGCTGACCTGTTGCTCATTTAGCTGGAACTGAGAAGTTGTTCTTGCAATCTGTCCTATTTGCTTGGGAGGAAGGAAGGCTGGCACAAAGCAGCATTGCCAATAACTGTGAAGAGGCACCAATAGTGTTCAGATGAACATCAAGAGCATTAGGCCCTCTCCATCAGAATAGTGTTATATATGAACATGTTCCACTGTTAGTTGTAGCCAAAAGAATCTCTGAACAATGCTGGTACTTTTTTTTTTTTTTTTTTTTTTTTTTAAAAAAAATGCTGGCCATACTTATCCATGAGATAGTCATTAGTAGTTTGATTAGCATTGTTCTGAAATACAGTTAGTTTTCCAGCCAAAACCTAACACCCTTCCCCTCAATCCCCCTCTGAGAAAACTATGCTAAAACTCTGTAAGGAACAATGAAGTTTTACAATCGTTTAGTGAGCACACTTTTTTTTTTTTTTTTTTTTTTTTTTTTGCAAAGAACAATGCTGGCCATACTTATCCATGAGATAGTCATTAGTAGGTTGATTAGCATTGTTCTGAAATACAGTTAGTTTTCCAGCCAAAACCTAACACCCTTCCCCTCAATCCCCCTCTGAGAAAACTATGCTAAAACTCTGTAAGGAACAATGAAGTTTTACAAT